TTGGTCTTCGCAGTCATAAAAAATGGTCTACCCAGAATCAAAGTTGAGTTCTCATCCTATATATCAAGAATGTAAAAATCAGTTGGAAAAATCAATTGGTTAACTTTTACCAACACGTCTTCAAGCACTCCGAAAGGCTGAGCTATGCTTCGGTTTGTTAACTGAATGATCACATTGGTTGGTTTCAAGTCTCCCAAATGCAACATTTTATACATGGTTGATGGCATGACATTAATAAAAGCTCCCAAGTCCAGCAAAGCACTAGCAAAAGAGGATTCTCCAATTACGCAGGGAATGAAGAATGTTCTTGGATCACCACATTTCTATGGAAGGCTAGACTGGGACAAGGATGAAACTATCTGAACTTTCCTTTCTTCAAATTCCTCTTATAAGTACAAAGCTCCTTCAAGAATTTCGCATATCGAGGAATCTACTTAATAGCATATAGTAAGGGAATATTAATCTCCACCTTTTTGAAGGTATCCAACAACTCTTGATCAATCTCTACTCTCTTTGATGTAGGAGCTCTGGATGGGAACAGAAGGGGAATCTGCTGCTGCTACATAGAATTATCTAGGACTCCCTCTTCACCTCCACTACCTTCACTGGACTGCATATATTTATCCGAAACTATTTTGGCTTGCACTAGACAATTGGTCAGTTCCTTGCCACTTCTCAAAGTAATAGAAGTCACATTACCTTTAGGATTAACTACAGGATGAGAAGGAAGTGTTCCAGACCCTTGTTGCTGCAAATTATTCACTGAGGTAGCTAGCTGCTCAATTTGGGTCTGGAAGTCTTGAATAGTGGCTAAAACGTTTTGCTGAAACTGCAGACTCTGAGTGGTCATCTGGCTCATCAACTCCTCCAAGGAAGGTCCACTACTAGGCTGCGCAGGAGGCTATTGTTGAGCTTGGTTTTGTTGTGCAGGCTGCTGTCTTAAAGGAGGGGGCAAATACTTTGGTTACTGCACAGAGTGGTGTACTAGTTGGTGGTATGGAGGATGATGTACAGGCTACTGTTGATGGTGATAAGTGTACTTCTGCTGCTGCTGTCGTGCTGGCCCTGGACCATACCTCAGATTGGCCCTGGCTCAATTTTTTTCTACCCTAAATGCATATAAAATAAGCTCAATTCTGAGTTTCCTAGCAAAAGTTATGACACTTTCAAGTTTCACAAAATTTTTTTTTGCCACCAAAGTGTATCTCTTTTTCTACATATGGTTTTCCAAATCTACCAACTCTACACATTAATAGACACTAAAAGAAGTGTGGACACAAAAATTCAGGTTAAAATTCAAGCTCTAACTACTTGTTTTTGGAATTTTTCAAAACTGGATGAGTAGTGGTGAATAGTGTTGTAAATAGTGTACATGAATAGTGAAATCAACAACCTATGCGCAAGGGAAAATTCAGTTTCTACTACCCCTCTGTTTTTCTCTGTTTTTAGCAAGCAAACATACATAATATGGTATCACATACACAATGGAATTAATCAAACACGAATTAAACCACAATTAGTATACATCGGGCAACATAATCACACACAAATTGAATGATAATAGAATGCACAATCAAACATGAATACAACAGAACGGATGTACTATGGCAAAACAGAACTACAAATATGAGTACAACACAACTAAATGCAAATGAACTAAACAATGAACAATGAACACAGATTACAGATCACATAATAGAGAACATACAACATGGAATGCAGAACAATTGAACTACATAAATTTTTTTTTATCGAACACAAAATTCTGAATGCAAAATGCAGAAAATAAAATAAAAAATATAAAATACACAATTGAATCAAAACAAAATGACATGCATCCCCGGCAACGGCGCCATTTTTGACATCCACGTCGTAATGGTATCAAAACTAAGCTAAATTCCTCAAACAAACATGCAGTTTAGGGAGTAACCTAGGTCATTTCTCAAAAGGATACAAATGCACATTGTTTCAATATCAATTATGCAGAAGAAGTTGTATGTTTGAGGGGAGTTTTGTGATTAATTCAAACAAAAATTGTAGAGAATTAAATCGTGAAAAACAAATGCAAATAGAATTAACAATGAAACGTAAATTGCGATGCAAGTAAAATCAATTACAATCAAACCAAAAATGAGATTAGAAACCGAAAATGAGATTAGAAACCGAGAATGAGAAATTGAGAATGAAAACCGAAAAACACAAACACACATATTTGTAACCTAGAGATAGAGATGAATATATGTTAAATTGTGTTAGAGGTAGAGATGGATATACGAAAAATTGGCTAACATGAAGTTATAACTTTGCTTTTTTAAAACTTAACTTGCATGATCTATTTGAGTAATATGCTTTAATTTATACATTTTAAAATGATTAATTAATTGAATGGATCAAGATCAAGATTAAAAATTATTGATTAAGTCTTATAGAATGCGACATTTAATACATAAAATTTATAATTATAAAAAAATTAAATAAATTTATATAAAAATTATAATATAATATTATATTAAATAAATTAAATTTTAAAATAAATAAAATCTTAAATTAAAAATCTTAATCATTTTCATTGGAATGGAAGAGTGACCTTACTATATACTCTTTTAGAGAGAGAGAGAGAAAGAGTATGTTAGATTTGTCTTGTATGCATAAAGTTGATATGTATTTGTTTTTGTTTTATGTTTAATAATTTACTTATTTAAATCAAATATATAATTTTATTATAAATATTCAAGGTGCTGAACCAAATTTTTTTTATACCTTTTTAGATAGAAGCCTTTTGACATTTATAAAGACATACCTAATTAGATGATTTGATAAACCTATCTATAAATAAGTTTAATGATCTCTTAAAAGTCTTGATACGAAGTAAGTTGTAACATCCTTCTTTATATATATATATATATATATATATATATATTTGATATTTGTTTTAATATTTGATGGTATTGGGGTATATTTTTTTTAATTGAATGAATGAGTGTTTATTAGAGTCCTGGTGCAGGGGATATCGATTAAGCGAGACTGAACGTACAAAACCATATGTTTTCAAGGCAATCTCGCTCAAGCGAGATATTATAGAATTGGCTCAACTATCACCTCGTCCAAGTGAGAGGTGATCTTGCTCAGGCGAGCAAGGATCTCGCCCAGGCGAGCTAAGTTGCATAGGTGAGGATTCACAAGAAAAATGTTTAACTCTTTGGACATTGTCTCGCTCAGGTGAGATTGACTTCGTTCAAGCGAGAATATCAGTAAACACTTAGAGAGACCACTGTTTGATGTTTTCGCTCAAGCGAGATATATCACACTCAAGCGAGCAGTTTCTCGCTTAAGCAAGAGCACGTAGGGTTGAGGGATATTTAAGAGATGTTAGCATGAAAATTTTATTTCATTCCAAACCTCACGTATCCTCTCAACTTTCTCTGAACTCTCACTGCCTTTTCTTAGATAAAACCCCTCCAAACTCCGATCACTCCTTAAATCTCTCAAATATGTAGCTATTAGGCCTTCCTAGAAAATCATGATCATGGTAAGTAAATACATTATTCATGATTCGAGAAGACCTTTCTATTCCCTGATATAGATTAAAACTAAGAGACTGATAAATTTGACCACTAGTGGAAAATTAAAAGGAACTGCAAAATTATAGGTTACTTCTAATGTGTACTCATAATCATCCTCAAAATACACTATAATCTACTAAGAGACATGTCTATATTCTCTAAAAATATAATTTAATCTACTACTAGCATAAACATCTACTACGCTAATCTACATGGGACGTGTCGTCATCTTTATTACCTGCAGAGTTGTGTAAGGATGAGCATCTATTTATTTTCAAATATAACATAGAGATATCATAACATTTATCACAATAATATTACAATTATACAATTAAATATCAATTCATACCACATATCATATGTTTTATTCATCACACATGTTCACACAACCTCATTGACATTTCTATTACCAAATTCGCACTTTAAGTGCGTTGTGATTACAATCATTTGATTCCTCTAGAAGTATACAATAACGGGCCCCTTCACAAAGGCATAGTCAAGAGTCTAATCGAGAAATAAGTATGAGGCCATGTACGCATTCGCTCACAAACAGAATGTGTACATATACGCGATTGTCGCTCACCATCCTATATTTCCCCTCAGATATCCTATCGTCTCCAGACTCTATATCCCTAGTGTATCTCTGTAACTATTTACACCATATCCATTCAATTCTTATATTCATTCCTCAATCCAATCACAAAATCATGCTTAATAGCACTTCCAAACTAATTACATATTGCTCATATCACTAACTCATGATCTCAATAATCACATCATTCAATAAATATCATAAAAAAAATATTGTATAAACATGCTCTCCTGAGCTCAACATATAACCTATAACATATAATGATAAAATAATCTCCTCTTACCTTATAATGAAGTTCTAGAAAAGTGTTGATTGTAACGAGGATCGACTGACGTGATCCACTATTGACTTTGGATAACTTAATGTGTAATGTATAAAGATTGTTGCTAAGAGTCTTTGACCAAATGAGATTGTTTTTTATAACATAAGTACATAGGATTATTCAACCTAGTTTATGGATACCACTATCATTCTTGAGTATTGAGAAACTTGCTTTTAATATATTTTAAAGTGACATGCGATCACGACACGGATCTTGATTCTTCATGCACCTAATAGATATCAGTTTATAAAAATACATGTCATGCTCTTATTACTAATAGTTACTCATGAGGTTCCATTTCCTTATTTATACATACTCAAAACCTTTAGAAATTCATGATATTAGTAAGTACCACTTGAATAGTATAGCTATACCATGTATTGGCATAATCATGCAAGTGGACTCCAATCTTTTTCATCTGCTCATAAACCAATTACTAATAATATGAGATACAACATGCGATATATTAGAATTGGACTTGCTTAATCAGACTACAAAACAAATCAAGAAGATTCAAGGTAAGATGCTTGCAACTCAAAATCGTCAGAAAACTTATGCAGATGTCAGAAAAAAATGGTTAGAATTTCAAGAAGGAGATCACATATTTCTTAAGGTTATGCCTATGACGGGAGTCAGACGAGCCATGAAACTAAAGAAGTTAAGCCCTCAATTCATTGGTCCTTTCCAAATTTTAAAACAAATTGGGCCAGTTGCATATCAACTCGCTCTACCCTCACATCTGTCAAATCTTCACAATGTATTTCATGTATCTCAACTTAGAAAATATCACCCTGACCCTACACATTCCTTTGAACCTGAATCTATACGGTTAAAGGAAGATCTAACCTTCCATGTATCTCCAACACGGATTGTAGATAAGGGAAGTAAGCAACTTCGCAACAAAATTGTAAAGCTGGTAAAGGTAGCATGGGGAAAAGAGGGTACTGAAGGTTTCACATGGGAATTGGAGTCTGACATAAAGAGAGAATATCCTAAATTATTCTCAGGTACTAAATTTTGCAGACAAATTTTTTTTAGGAGGGCAGTAGTGTAACGTCCAAAATTTTAAATGTTTGTTTTATGCTATTAATTGATTTTCTCGATTAATTTACATGAATAAGGTTAATAAGAGATTAATTGAATATTTATTAGAATTCAAATCTATGTTAATTAGGTAGACTATAATTAAAAAATTTACAGTAGAATTTCCTCTTAGGAGAAAGACTGGTATAGTTTCAGTTGAAAATATTTATTAGAATTCTGTCTGTTTTATGCTCATTGGGGTTCTTTTGATAGATTGTGGAAAACTTACACAACTCATCAAATTTAGCGATATATTCTAATATGCTACTGTTTCCCTGATGGAGTTGCATAAATTCTAGTTCCTTAGTATTACAGACAGAAGTAGAAAATACTTCTGATAGAACGAATCTCTAAATATATCCCAAGTGATTTCAGTTTAGGATTCTTCTAATAACCGTCGTACACTATTCCACCAAAATTTCGCATCTGCTTCCAACATATAGGTGGCAAAGGCCACCTTCTGACGGTCTATACAATCTAAAACAGAAAATACTTTTTCCAGGGCTTTAACCCACTCATCTGCCTTATTAGGATCAAAGGCTCCTCTAAAGTTAGGCGAGTTATCTTTTCTAAATTCTGCAAATTTAATATACTTTAGATCCATTATTGGACCATTTGGATTCCCTCTGTGACCATCCTCAGGCTGTCTTCCCAATTGGACCATCATTTGAGTTGCTATAGTCGCTTGTTCTCGCATGGCATGCACAATATCTTGCATTGTATTCATAAAATCAGTCTGGTCCTCTTGATCAGGTACAATTCGTGGTCTACCTCACCGTCCTGAAGCCATTAAGTTCTGAACACACAAAACAAAAGTCATTGAGTTGATCAGGCTCAACACTAAGTTTAGTGTGCTAGTAAATAATAGCTCACATGGACAGACACCTCTTACAAATACACTTCTAGAATTTAACCATAATCCAGTGCATTATATCTAAAAGTTAAAGAATATATATGGAGCATAGTCAGTCCAATCCTTAGGCCCTTGCTAGGATGAACTGCTATGATACCAAATTTTGTAACACCCTACTGAATTTAATTTATGCTTAAGTCATAATTACTAAATGCAGTAGTTGCATTACATTAATTAAAAATTTTGTTCATTCCATTCCTTCATTTCATATTGATGTTTTTATAGTAAATTATCAGATGCATAAAGGAGCGAGGCGTTATAATAACAAAAATAAAAGAAAATTAAATATAGAATAACCTAGATAAACATAGTAATTAATTTAACTCATACATTTTAGAGAAAGATAACTATACATATTTATATATATAGGACACCATGTTATTTACATATAATCAGAATACATATAAGGACTACTACATACAAAAAGATCAGTGGCTCAATGTCATCAAAGTGCAGTCCTACCAAGTTCTCACCGAACAATTTAGAACCAAGGTTAGTGTCCTACAACTACTATCGTGGCCCACTGCACATCCGGGAACTTAATATAGATCATTATTGTTGCGTTCATCATGCAGATCTGAGAATGAAACGGAAACTAAGTAGGATGAGAATTTTGAAAATTCTCAGTAGGGCTGTGTATTTCTATGTGACATCACTTTCATTCTCAGTTGCTTCAATTTTTATTTAAATAAAAAGTTGTTAAACCAATAAGGAAAATTTTCAATTATGATTATTAAAAACATGGCCTGAAGCAAAGTAAATTTTATGTCTAACATTTGCAATACACAGGATCATAATAATTATGATACACATATACCAGAAATTAAATAAATAATTAAAGGACTCAACATGAATCATACGTGTGACATAATAGTACTTAAAGTTGTAATTGAAAGCAACATTGAAATGCATTAATATTAACTAAAATACTTTCAATCACATAATAAGGTATTTAATTCTCATATACGTTCCTATCCTTGGTCCCCTGGGAGTTCTTGGCCATAAGACTCCTAGATAATAGTCTGCTTATCAGGATCGAGCTCATTCCTATACAGGATTTGTCAGGTTTACTTTTCCTAACACTCCCACCGACTTATTCCCCTTAACTATTTATCCGGGGCTAGCCCAAGTGATATAGGACTTTCTTATAACTTTCAATCATTTTAAACTTTCATAACTTTCATATTGTATCTCACATATCTCTTTGAAATTTTACAATTTATCCATAATTCTTACAAAATATGTGTAGCATAACAGATCATATTTATTTTTCAATGAATAGTGCCAGCTAACAAACAATCATTCACATATCATAGCAAATAAATAAATAAATAAACAAAACCTTTAAATTCATAATTCTTTCCTTAAAGCAATAAATTTTGCCTTGTTTTAATTTTACTACGTTTATTGCTATATGACTTCAATAGACCTGAATATTTTTAGATGTTGAAGCCCTATTTGTTTATTTTCTAACCTAATTGTTCCCATTCAGTTTTGACAAATACAACTCAAGATTTTTGCTTTCTACTATGACCTATCCTGTGATTAGCCAGAACAACACTAAAAAATGTTAAAATCCACCAAAATTTGAATCTAAGTGTATGACTGTGAAATTCATGTCATTTTAAAGTTAAGAAATCAAATTTTAATATCCAAAATGTTTCATTTCATTTGGTTAAATAGAATTCAAGCTATAAGGTTCTAAAGTTGGTTGTTATAGATTGCTCTGTTTCTGACTCAATAGCACTAGGGTTAACTTCAGAAAAATTCTGGGAACTGCTAAAAACGAATTGGACTGTGAAATTTTTATGGTATAAACTAATATATCTTATCTTTTTAACAAATTTTGTTTCACCTCAATCCAAGTTATGTGGAACGAGTTATGTCTTACGTAAGCTTACCTACCCAAAATCAAAATCTAAAACTTAACCCAAACTTCAAAAATTCATAACTAATTTTATACTAATACAATTGCTTAATAATTTATATGTATAGAAATCTCTGGATGTCTAGTTTAAGTAAAAAATATTTTAATAATATTTAAATTGTAAATAATTGTCAACATAGTGTATTTGTACAGAAACTCTAGAAAATTCTGTTTTCAGACTTGTTGTTTTCTTTCTCTTCTTTGTTTTTCTACTTGATCTACCTTCAAACTAACCCAAACCATCATTAATCCAACTATACATCATAAAAACACCACATATATCATGTATTAAAAGATTTAAAACATGAAATAGATAGGCACACACATCCATATAAGCATATCAACATAGATAGCACCCTACCTCCTTTGAGCACCAATTTGATTTCAAAGATGTTTCTAAGTTGCAAGTGTAGGTGAGCTTGAGAGAAAAGCTTATGGAGGTAAGAAAAGGAAAAAGATGGAGAAGAGAACAAGGGAGAGAAGTGATGAATTTATACAGAGATAAGGGAAAGCAAAATATCCAAGTAGTCATAATGAATGGAGTTACTTGAAAAATTTTGATTGGTTCATAAATTTTGTGGTCTCAAATGAGCCAAAGGTGGATTATGAACCATTGGATCAAGGTGTGGTAGATGGCTTCCCCACCGTTAGATCTAGGGCAAATAATATTATTTTATTTTAGTAATTTAAATTGCTGAAACTATACCGATCTCTTTCCGAAGAGGAAATTCTACTATAAATTTTTTAATTCTAATCTATCTAATTAACATAGATTTGAATTCTAATAAATATTTAATTAATCTCTTATTAACTTTATTCATGTAAATTAATCGAGAAAATCAATTAATAGTATAAAACAGACATTTAAAATTTTGGACGTTACACAATCCACAATCATAAGGGTCAGGTGTTGAGGTTGCAGCCAATTCAGGAGATCTCTATCTCGAATAAGATGATGACCTCGATTCTGAGGAGTAGTAGAGATAGAGAGATGGAATGACGATGACTAGCACCGGGTTCTTAGCATTTGGATATGTTTTAGGACTACTCTAAGACTTAATTTATTTTGGTTATGTAATTATTATTTTAAGTCTCACATATTTTAATAAACAGTTAGTAAATTATTATACCCGTTACATGTAAATGCAAGTTTAGTATCTATATTTTGTAAATGTTTCCGATATATCATAATATTTAAATTTACACTTTACCATAGCTAATATCATCAAACTGGAAAACTTGGTTAATAACTTTATTCATAAAAAGATTTTAATTTACTCGTATTTATATTGCTTGTCACATACGAAAATTAACATTTTATCCCAATTTTGTATAAATAAAACGTGCAGTTTAAGACTAAAAATTAAGATGTTATAAGCTATCAAATTTATATTTCTTATCACATACTTAATAAAGTTTCTATAGTAGATAATAAGTTAAACTTAAGTTTCAAATTTAACAAATAAGTTAGATCCACTTGTGCCAAACGTAGCCTATTTTTATCATGACTAGAGGACAGTCTTAACATGGTCATAAGGCGTGACAACATCCCTCAAGCAAAAAATTTCATGACATTTCAGATTGACTATCTTGTATTTTTCATAAGTTGTTTTAAAGTTGGCATGGTAGACCATATATCTATAATTAGTCGGTGTAGATCAATCTTAACGCAATAAATATGAATTACTTATATTTTATTAATTAATTAATTAATAAAAATTAAAGTTAAATTAAATTAAGAGAATTGCAGAGATAAAATTAAATCTCAAATTGAAATAAACATGTTTTAATTTTTTAATGAAATGCTATACATGAGATTATGAAACAAAATTAAGAGATGGACATTAATATATTTATTAATTATTAATGGGTTAGATATATATTTAGTGTTTATTAAATTATTAAATTTTTATTTTAATTATTTATTTAATTTTAATCCTTGTGAAATAAAAAAATAATGTTTTCTAGTTCCTCACAGAACAAAAAAAATACATTACTTTTATTAAATATAAAGATTAAAAATAATAAAATTTAGTTAGAAACTAAAACCAAAATTTGATAATTTTGTAGGGATTAAAATTATATTTAAGATACTATTAAATTATAGTGTTTATTAAAATAAGAAGGAGTTAGATTTATAATTTAAAACTATCATTTTTTTTCATTTTTGTTTGGCAAATTTTAAAAAAATTAAGCACTTTGCAAAAAGAGAGGAAGAAAACTGAAAAAACTATAAAAAATTACACCGTGAACAACATTTTCATGGAAAACCCATCTACAGTTCATTGCATTACTAGAGGTCAATGTCATACTAGCATAATTATAAATGAATTATTCCTGTTAAGTCATGTTACATATATTTGGATAATATGAAATCCCATATGTTGGAATGTGAGTGGATAAGTTGTGTAGTTACTGGA